CCACATTTTTTGTGATACGTGCTGCAGATGCTGTAAGGTTTCCTACAACTATCCTTACAATGTTTCAATCTCAGCATGTATTTGCATTATGTGGTAATCTAGAACCTTGTATGCACATGTAGGAATGTTCAACTGACCACTGTTGACAACACTGGAACATCACTGACATTTAGTGTCACATTCAACATATACAACAATCCTGATATGTCTGCCCAGCCTCTCAAAAACCTACAATATACCCCCCTCTCAAACATAATTGCTATATAATGATTATAATTGAACAAAAGAAGCATATGTATTTGCTATGGCATAACAACTGTTTCACTTCACTATTACATAAAAGTTACAACTATGCTAAACTTTCTTGTGCTATATCAATATCACAAGCTCATACACAGATAACACAATGATTTGATGATATGGCATCACATGATGGCCAAAGACAGTGAAAATTTAATCAGAAAAATCTACCACCTCTCAGCATGAATAAGCTGTATCCATGCCTACATTTACATTATCCTTTAGTAATTGCAACTTTTTTCCATTAGTGTGTATGAATAGATAGACCTCATTTAACGCTACCTCGATAAATGCTGATTCAAATTATCATGGCATTTCATTGATTCATATATAATACGATTATTCTCAAAGATGAACCAATCAGCAAAAGGTGGCAATTCATTGTAATGCTGTACTTTCCTTAAATCCATGTTTGAGTGGTGCAATTTTTGAAAAAAAAACATAACATCACGGATTCCATAAGCAGTATCAACTTTGCTTGGCAAGAATTAATTGATAAATGCATGAACGAAGTGTGGAAGAAGGTATGGCTGACAATATCCAAGAATTCTCAACAAGAAGAGACTATCGTGACCAAACTGTCAACCTAATTGATATAGCATGACTAGGAGACATATACAAGCAGGATATTGAGAAGGTACTGCAGGTTTCTGGTGAGAGCTTTACCAATGACAACCTTCAAGAACTGGCAGAACAAAGAATTCGTGTAGAACTGGAAAATAGTGATTCTGAAAACAAAGAACTCAAAGAATTTCTCTACAGGTTTCCTTAGTAAAAGTTCGGTAACAATAACTGAAATTGTTAATCAAACTGTAATGAATGATCCAGATTTTGAAAGGAGGCAAAAGCAAGATGAGGCATTTTAGATGCAATTTCCTGCTACTGATATTTGCTTAATGAAAAAAAAAAAAAAAAGCAAAAAATGACACTAGATGACTTCATCGCAAAAACATCAATAATTTCAGAAGAGCCAGAACCTTCATCACAAAAAATGAACTTTACATTTATGTGTGCATATGTTTGTGTATTTAACATACATTATTATTATGGAAATTAATATAAAATAACTTAAAATTAAAGTAAATCTGTTTATTTTTGGTCACGTGTTCTCCTTTCTCTATTTATTCTGTGTTAAAATGACTTCGTTTAACGCTGTTTCATTTAGAGCTTTGTCATTTAAGAACATTTCCCCCACATTAAGCAGGGGTCTTACTATATTCACATTTTTTTCTAATTATATCAACAAACTAAAACTTATATAACTGATATTTTAATATGCCTTACTCATTTTTTTTTCATTTATTCCAAATAATATATGGAAAGATTTATCAGTTAATAAATACTTAACTAATAATAAATAATTTAACAATCAAAGCATATTTAAAAACAGTGGCATGCCGTCATTGGAAGCGGTGGATGTGCCGCTTCCCTTGTATTTAAAAAAAAAAAATACATATTAGTTTTAATTATATGAAAATAATCGCACAATATTTTATTATAACCACATTATGTATCTTATTACAAATTTCTATANCATATTTAAAAACAGTGGCATGCCGTCATTGGAAGCGGTGGATGTGCCGCTTCCCTTGTATTTAAAAAAAAAAAATACATATTAGTTTTAATTATATGAAAATAATCGCACAATATTTTATTATAACCACATTATGTATCTTATTACAAATTTCTATACTACACGCGAAAAAAAATAAAATAAAATTGCTATTGTATTAGTGGCGAAGTGGAAGCGTTGTATCATCAGCATCTGAAAAGCCAGATTCACGCATGCGCTTTACAGAGCACCGACCTCACCCGGTTTAGCTGGTGGAAGCCTAGGACCTTGGGTGGATGCTACACGTATACAGCATCCAATTCTATCCAGGACTGGTTCTGGACTGTTAGCCGCCCACCTGCTAGATATTTGACCACCCTCGCCCGATTACGCGAATCACGAGTAGATTTATAACTTAACCCAACTGATAAGAATTTACTGGTATGTTTTTATGATAGTTCTGTATAGTTGACAGAAGTTAAAAAAATCCATTAAAATATTTGATACTTTTATTCCACTTTCCAATTTTATATTACTCATGGATTTCAATGTTAAACCAGTGATATTACGATTTCTTATATCCCATCTTTAAAGGGATGTAGAAAAACATGTACAATTCTTGTATAATGTTAAAAAATTAACTGTTACTTTGGCAGCATCATTTACAACTAAATTTAATGAATGAGAGAGATGCATGAGGTACAGAAAAAGCTCTAGAATTTATTTTCTTTAAATTTACGATTTATGTATCCGTTGTCATAAAAATTTGTCTTTCCACTTTTTCCCGAGACTACAAATATTCGAGTACAAAGTAACTGCTTTCGACTTATTTCTACTTAAGAAATAGTTAAATATAAAATAAATATTGAAAATTATAACAAGATAGTTACGGCTAATAGATATATTATATTTAAATTAGTAGGTGTTATCAAAGCAAGAATTGGAATTTAGAGGGCATAGGGAATCTATTGAATCTAATATAACAGAGGTAATTATATTGAACTTGCTTATTTATTAAGTGCGTTAGATAATCTATTAATTAAAAATACATTTAGAGAAGTCTACGGTTTTTACTGGCTTATTGAACAAACGAATATAAATGGACCCTAGACATCGCTGACTGACTGCCTCTGGAAGTCGGCTTCTTACATAAACACAGCTTCCCTATCATCAAATATCATGGCATGCCACTGTTTAAAATAAAAATTTAATATCTCACAAGTTTTTAATAAAATTACTAAAAAAATCTAAATCTATCGGAAATATTTGTTTCCAGGGGAAAGCTAAAGAACCACATATATCAGCAATTATCTCAGTAGATAAAAAGCTCAAGTAATCCCAAAATGGCATGGATTGAAAAAAAAAGAAAATATCTTGTGGTTACCAGGTTTGATTTTAAAGTTTTTGTTTTATTCGGATATGTTTTTCATTGTTTTTAAAGGGAAGTTTTGAAAATTTTTGGCAACAAAGTAGCCTACAAAAAATGATTAGTCATTAAGAACTGTATTCTGAAACAGTGAAATTGAATAAATAGTGACTGTTCTTCAACAGACTTACACCATATTCACAACCAAGGATTAAAAGTTAGTTAGAAGTTAGCCAATTACAGTAGAGCCTCGATTATCCGACCCCCGATTAACTGACACTTCGGTAAACCGACCATCTTAGTCGGCAAATTTCAAATGTCTGCTAGTGATGTGGCGCTACAATATTTTGCTATGTCTTGGCTACTTTAATATTATTTTTGTGTTTTAACTGGAAACACTCATTTGACCATGAAACGGAGCCAGTATTTAAACGAGGCTTAATTTTCTAACTTTTAACAATACAATAGCGACGATTATTATTTTAAAAAATTTTTGTTAGGCTTAACATTGATGAAAATTCAATGCGAAGTAGGTTAATAGTGATATACTAATATACTAATTACATGGGATATAATAATATACTACACTAATAATGGATATTTTCATACTTTTCGGTTATCCGACTTTTCAATTATCCGACCAACCCCAGTCCCCAATTGGGTCGGATAATCGAGACTCTACTGTAATGGATTTTTTCATACTTTTCGGTTATCCGACTTTTCAATTATCCGACCAACCCCAGTCCCCAATTGAGTCGGATAATCGAGGCTCTACTGTAATACACTTGGTCCTTGGCTGTGAATAAGGACAACAGTCTTCAATTTTAATTTTAACATTAATTACCATCCAACAAAAAGTTTTAAACTAGAAACCTAAATGTAATTAATTGTTCTGTATTTTAAATTTCTCATTTCTTATATTACAAAATTAACAATTTTTCAAATGAAAAATTTTTAATCTACATCGAATGACAAATGTCAGTTAATAAAAAATATTTGTAACAGTAAGTTAACAATATTCATATTATAAAGGGACTGTTGATTTAGTGCATTTGTTGACATTGAAAAATAATTTGTATCACTGAATATTCTTTTACCATTTAAATGTTAGAAATTCCAAATTTAATTATTTCAATGAGAAAAATTTAAACAAAAAGTGCTACTTATTAAAGATTTTAATTTGATAGCAGTTTTGAAATTATATCAAACTTCTACTATTGAAAGGAAATTATTTTTAAAACAGTTTGAGCACAGACTAGTTACATGGAACCATGACAGAAGATACATGGATAACATTGATGAAGTGATTTTGATGTCAATCCATATTGGAAAAAAAAAATGCTGCTGCTTTGGAGTCAACCTCATCTTACCTTCTCTGGTGCAGTAAAAGTCCACAAGTGAGGATTTGACCAATCACATTGCTTTGGATTGATAATTTTCATATGTTAATGCAGCTGTAACAAACTGTAAAAAAGCAAGTGCTTTCTAAATGCTGGAATCCATTTTTGATAGTCATGGCAATGCACTAAAAGATTTCAGGAAAAAATTTATGAAACAAAAATCCTGTCAATGAGAATTACTAGACAAATTTTCTGTTCTGGTAAGCAATGATAGTTTTAACTGCTTTTTTTTCTGTGGCATAAAGTGGGAACTGATCTTAACTGAAAACAATTAGTAAATATATTTAATATTTTAATATATTTACTCATTTTATGAAATAATATTTAGAAAAAATGTTAAAATTCATATAATAAAAAATATTTAAAACTTATAAAAACTTACCTAATAATGAAAACATATAAAGGATAAATTGGATTTGGTTGAAGATAGACAGGGACATAAACTTTTGATTTTGGGTAAACTGGTCCTTGAGGAACAAGTATCCTAATTATATCATCACTTTTAACTTCTTCATAACTTCCATGAACTGTAGATAAAAGAACATCTGCTAAATAAGTTGTAGATATTGAAGAAAGAGATGGTGCAGTCTTTAGAATACAATCTTGACTTCTGCTGTGAATTACAGCATATTCTACTCTGACTGTTGTCTTCTGTTGTTTTACAGATTTCCAAACTCCTGCTTCAAGTGGTGGCCACCAATGAGAGGGAAGAATAGCTTCAGCAAGACATACTCCGTCTCTGTTATCAGTGGGGTCACATTTAGCTATCACATGTTCATCTCCTCGATGAACATATAATATAGCACATAGAGATATTTTCTGATTATCTGAAGAATGCTGACGAGACTTTGGTTCTAATGTATGACTACTGTGAAATAAAACTCTTAAAACTGGTCTGTCATGCTTTATTTCATGTGTGACTAAACTCACACTAATATCTACATCACTATTCGATGGGAAAGCAAATGAAGGAACTATTTCTGTTGGAGATATTCCATTTGCAGCATGGGTATCATTTTTTGGCAAATTTGTTGGAATGAGTAATGATGGTACAACAGTTTGTTTAACTGAAAAAGGTCCATAAGATGCTTTAACTGTCACTGGTATCATAGGATGTAAAACTGTAAAACGTTCCATAATATCATCTTTGTTGTTTGACTCTGAATAATATGGTCGAAGAAAGAAACCAGAGTCCCTGCTATCTAGAGTTATATCTATTCCTGCCAAAGAACCTGTAAAGATAAATTAAATAATTATTAAACTTATCTGTAATATATCAATTTCAAAACATTTATCAAATTTGAATAACTAATAGACTGAAAATAACTTTCTTCTTACTAAATCCATCAATTAAAATAACTAAAGGCCTTTCAGTCATATTTTATTTCATCTTTATTTTCATATTTTACTTTTCATCATTAGTTTCATGTAAATATGTAATACTAGCTGTTACCCGCGACTTCACCTGCGTGGATTTTGCAAGCAAAGCCCATTTATATTCAGTATTTCAACAACTATAGTAATTGTTGTATAACACCTACCACTGAAAATGATGAGAATTGCCAAGAATCAAACAAACTGTTTTCAATTTGATCAATTTTCTGGAATGTTAACAATCGTTCTGTAATTGAACCAATATGCAATAACAAATTCAAATTTAAAACGGTTCAAACATTTGGTTAAAAAATAAAAATATATAAAAATATTTATAACAATGTCTGAAATGTTATCAATTTAATACACCTAAATACTCAATGAAGACTAAACATAGTTGAAAATAAAAAATTGCATCTAAAATAGTACAGTAGAAGCTGTTCTTCAGGCTAAGCCTTAATGCTCTCCCTCTCCTTCCCACACGAGGGAAATTTCAAAAAATCCCTTCTTAGTGTGCATTTTCATGACATACCCTAACTGTGTACCAAATTTCATCTCTATGTTCAGCTATTTGCTCTGGACGATGATGAGTCAATCAGTCAGTCAGGACAAGTAATTTTATATATTTAGATTTATAATTTATATTCTAACAAATACATAAATTTAATACTTTCTTAAAATCTATTCAATTAACTATGTTCCAATCTGTAATGACATTTTAATCATAAGTCTTAAATAAAAAAATGAAAGTGCTTATTTTAAAACCTTTTAGTTATTTTTCTTATATCATCAATAAAACTCTCTCTTAACTAAGATTATTTGGTAAGAAAGATATATATCATTTAATACGTATTGAAGTTTTACAGTATTAAAACTTCAATATATATTAAATGATATACAAGGTGTCCCAAAAGTTTTTATATGATTTTTAAAAAAGTCTACGGTCAACAAATTGGCATATTACAGTGGGATTTGCACTAAAACACTTGTCATGAAGGCAAATTTTTTTGTATAAGAAAAAATTTTTTAGTTCAAATTTTCACCAATATAGGGCATCATTGTCATAATTAGAACCATATAAAAAAAAAAAAAGAAGTCAAGACTTATAGCATTTATTCATTGACATTTGTGAGCATGTGGTTTGGCCTTTACTTTCTCTAGCAATTTTTTCCATCCGAAACTTTCATATGGCTTCTGTAGCCAATTCACTAATCAAAATAAAACAGCTTTACTAGATATCCACCAATGTCAACACTGAGTTTAACACATGTAATAACTTTATTTCCATAAACTACTGATGATACAATTGCATTTCTTTTTAACAGATTTAAGTTCACTTCTTTATGTAATGCCCTCTATCAGCAAAAATTTGCACTAAAAATTTTTCTTATGCCAAAAAACATCTGCCTCTATGACAAGTCTTTGATACAAACCCCACTGTAATATGCCAATTTGTTGATTTTATACAGTATTTTAAAATCTATGAACTTCTGGGACACTTTGTATATCCACATGAGAGAACCAGTGCTATTATTTTTGCTAACTTAATTTTAAAATCATAACTATTTAATAGTTGAAAGTTTAACTAAACAACTAAACCAAGATTTTGGAAGTCAAGGATACAAGGACATTCATGAAATCTTATTTTGGTATCATTTCCTGTCTGAGTGACATGTAATCAGTTGAGTGACTCACCCAGGGAAATCATCAGAAAATCTTGAGATTGAACAATAGTCCTCTCCCCGTATAATCTTAACTATATTTAGGCACACGGAAACAGTGGAGAAGGGGAAAATAAAAGGAAAAGGTGAGAAAAAGTCAGGGAGGGTGTTCATGGCCCGTTTGCAGAGTTCATTCATTGGCCATCCATCCTCTAAGTGCATCATTTGCCCACTGTGCTCCTCCCACACTGCAAGGATGATTTAATTCTACTCATTGCTTTACTCAAAAGTGGTTATCTAAGAACTATTCCTCTCTGATACTACGAGTTAAGTAATTAGGAATTTAGGAAACTGCTGACATACAAATCAATTGCAATCTCCCTCTTCGACTTAGATTGATCCACAAAAATTGTCAATTTAGCCATGCTTGATGTTTAATTGTTAATTTTAACTACTTATTTGTTTATGCTTGATATTATGATTAGCTTTAATAAATTTGTTGTCCTTACTTGCCATTTCCAGTTCACTGTCTCTCAACTTCCTCTGTTCTATTACCCAAAGTCCCCATATACTATTGCCTGTGTGTGTTCAAAACTGTTCCTGTCTACAGGTGGTGTCAGATTCTGACATGAGGACCAAGTTTTTTCACCTGTCACACATATAACAACAACCAAAGATGGCTTGATCCTAGTATCTGGCCAAAATGCTTATTGTGAACTATTTTAAATATGTATTTTTTTAAATGAAGCTATTTAATAATTGATACCTCCATTTCATGTTTTCGATAGTCTCAGTTAGTAAGTGGCTATAGAATTTAATGGAATGATTAACTAGTCATATTGAACATTGTAATTTTTCATTTAGTTACTTGACAAAATTTGCAATATTAAAAATAAGTTAGAACAATATATAAAAATAAATTTCATTTTACAACTTTTTGTCTGCAGCTTAGAAATTGCTCAAAAATAATCCATTAAACAATAACAAGGTAAAAAACAATGCATTTTATGGTGGATACAACAAATCATTAGAACTATTAGCAGTTATAAATTTTTTAATTTCTATATGTATTTTATATGAATTAAGAATAAAATTTTCTTTAGAATTAACAATGAGAATTTTTGGTAGCCAACTTTTCAATCAAGTCCATTGTAGAAGTGATGCAAGAAAAACATATTTAAAAATATTCTGGAAATAGAATTTTAAGCTTGCTCTAGTTTATTCATTTTCTTTCTGTGAACATAAACCTGAAGCAGGCCTTGATTAGCACTGAAAACATTTGACTAGACTTGAATTTGGAGTACAAGAAATTTTATATATCTGGAAAAATATGTGAAGTGTTTCATAAGTTAATTTTACTTTTAAATGTTCACCACAAAACATATTTAATGAAAAAGTATAATTATTATTTAATCATTACTTGCCCTTCATCACATATTCTATGAATATTGAACTATTCATTTTAATAAAGAAAGAATTTTCATAATTAGGCTATAATCAGGTTAATTAAATATATAAATATGTAAGTTAGACTAAACATAGGCAATTAAGTCCACATCTATAGATTTACTTAGCCAGGTTATAGTCCAATAATGAATCCAGCATTACATTTTGATTATTAATGTACGAGTATAATTTGGGCTTGGATTAGTATTTAATTAATATTATGTTGAAAAGAAAAACTATGTACTGTAAGGTCTCGTTTCATGCAGTGGATACGTTCTACAGAAAAGCGCATATAAAAAATTCGCATAAAAAAAGACTTTACTTGCCTTGAAAAAGTAGGGATATGTTCCGTAATTTTCTAAAATCGCATAAAACCAAAACAACGAGTTAAAATTAACTTAAAACCGCATAAAAAAGTTTACAGAAATTAAAAGAAATAGGCTGCTTAATAAATTACTTCGAATGTCTGAAAGAAATTCATATAAAAGCTTAAAATAAACTTGTATTCAAACTTAATTCAGTTTATTTTATTGAAAAGTAATACAAGGGAAATCCCCGAATTGCAAAAGCTCACTCTAAAAACAAATCACTGACATCTGGATGTGAAGAGTTAATTAAAACCCCTTTAGTTCCTCGCCTGAGTTAACTCGGGCAGGTTACATAGCGTTACATAAAACACGGTCCTTAAGGCCATTTTTAAATTTTTTTTTTGAATTTTTGGAATGTTTTTTAAGTCTCCAAATTTTTTAAAAATATTTAAAAATATACGGCCAGCTAGTGTTCACCCTACTTTAAACCCTTGTCCTCCCGCGACGTCTATGAGAATGCCCCGGGAAATCCAACTCCAGCTGTGTTCAAGGTCATCCAGATGTGTAAACAATGACTCATCGGTGTTAAATTTCACAGAAGGGCGAGACAAAGGAAGTTAAACTTTGAAGCTTTTTCTTCAAAATTAACGCATTTCTTTCGTTTTTATTCAGTTTTAAGTATTTTTTATGTTTAATTACATTTATATCAAAAATTGCTAGGAACTAAAGCGATTAAAGTAGATCTAGCTGTCCTTTACATCCATAAACGTTATATGTCAGTGGAACAAATGGAGTGAACTTTGAGCGTTCCACGATTTTTGGAGACTGTCTATACGTGGGCTTCCTAAACAAGCCTATATGTATGTTTGTCCAAAAAATTTTTGGATGAAATACAAACCACACAACTTCAAAATCGCATAAAAATAATCCGCATAAAACGAGACCTTACAGTACAAGTTAAGACAAACCAGAGGAGAGAACTCTGTGGCAAAATATCAAAAATGCCAGTGACATCCTTCAAAAAACTATGCAAGAACTATTAAAAGAAATTGAAATTAGAGAAACAATATGTATTAAGATTAATGAAGATAACAGGGGAACCTGTAATTGTAAATGGATGTGGATATAGTCATAGAGCAAACCTTATCAATATTAAGCTTCATTTTATAAGAAGTAGATAAGAATATCACTGATATTCTTATTTACTTCTTATAAATATGAACAGTAAAAATAGCTTAACAATTTTGTTTACAAAACTTTTAAATAGTACTTTGTTTCACAAGTTAAGCTTTAAGATTAGTCTGAAATACTTGTAAATTAGTATAATTAACTTTAAAAAAAGTAATCTAGCAAAAAGTTAAAATTTACAGTAGTACCTCAGGATAAGAAATTAATCCATTCCTAAACTGAGATTGTATCATTAAAATGTCATAAGGTGAATCA